ACCTTCAATTATTTAATGAGTTTTGCAAAATTCTTTAAGGAATTCTCAATATCTACTTAACCATTCATTATCAAAAAATGATATCAAATTGAATAAAAATATGAACCATGCCATGATTTCAGGAGAAAAGATGGCCAGCATCATAAAGTTAAGTAATGAGACACTATTGTAGCCTTTAACAAGCTGGATGTTTAAGTTCTAAAGCATTACACTATGTATGGGAACATAGATGAAATTAAATTATTGCTATGGAATTGTGATGGAATGAATAAACAGAAATGCCCGGGAAATTACAGATGTGTTTACATGTGATGGAGTTCCACAGGAATAGGGCTACTGCTAATTGAAATAGGGCTTCTGCTATGAAGAGCTATTGCTTCAACATTTTAGAAGAGTTTCTGTATGCCAGATTCTCCATTCTGGTTATCTAGAAAGCATCCTCACAGGAGTGGGGAGAAATTTTTTTCTTTGCCTGTCCCCACAGGAGATAGAGAACCTGGGTTTAAACAAGTGGAGTTGCCTTGAGCAACTTATTTAATGTCTCTGAATTCTAGTTTTCTCTTTTGTAAAATGAAGATAATAATAATACCCACCTTGTGAGGATTATTTTGAGAATGAAATGCACATAAAACACTCAGCATAGGGCCCTGCCCAGAATGAATAATATTCAGTGCATGTTAGTTTCCCTGAGACAGTGGGGTGCAACGCTATCTATACATCAGAATCACCTGGGAAAATCTAAAATGTACCCGTGCCAGGACCCCCCTACAAACCAATTACAATCAAAACGTGGGGTTAGGGATCACACTTATAAAAGCTCCCTAGGAGATTCTAATTGCAGCCATGCTGCAAACCACTGATCTAAGCTATTCAGTTAGTCCACCGGTAGATCTTAATGTTGGCTATGTAATGAAATCACCTAGGAACTTACAAATATTGATGCCTGGGTTTCTGTTTCTGATTTATCTGGTACACAGTTCAGCTTGGGAATTGAGAGTATTGAAAGTTCTCCAGTTAATTATTTAAGTAATTCTCCAGTGTAATTGTCCTGATTGTGCAAGTAATCCATGTCTTAAAAAATTATGAAATGCAGAAAACTATGAAGAAAATAATAATAAAAAACCCCCCACAATCTCATTGCCCAGATACAAACGTTGCCAACAGTTTCGTTTGTTTCCTTCTCTGTATGCTAACTGTTTTACAAGGTTGGGCTCATGTGGCATGTACAATGTTACATTCCTTTTTTATTTTACATGACAACACAACTATGTTCAATGTCATTAATGCACATTTCAGGTATCACTTTAAAGAAGTAGCATATATATAAAAACACTTCATTACATATTGTTATTATTTTGCCTATTGGAAAGGAAGTTCCAGACAAAGTATCTATGAAATTTTTGGTAAACCTCTTCTACCAAAATCAAATTTCTCTCCTGGTAAGTTAGGAAGGAGTAGGCCCAAGCTTCTTGCTCAAGGCAGAACTCAAGGGATTGACAAGTGCTGCTGCCCAAGTGCTCATAAATCACATTTATCAGTAATCTTTTACAGGGAAGTCTTGGCATTAGGTGCTGCACATTGGGCCAGGCCAAGCTAAGATAGATATCCAGTAGTCAAGGCAGGCAGAAGCGAGAAGAACAGAGAATGTTCTAAAGCCAAAGAAATAAATCCAAACTCAGAGCCNAATTTATGTACTCCTTTTAAAGAGAACGTCTATTGTAGAAATTGAAATATAGTAATGGCTATCATTGGTAGAGTGCTTACTATGTATCGAACACTCTAAGAGATTTACTTCCATAAATCTTCATGAATCTTCTGAATCTTCAGGAATATCCTTTGAAAGGGGCTAAATTATTTAATTAAAGTGAAAATATTTTGAAACTAGTTTATTATATACTAAAAAAGAGAAAAAATAAAGTGCATATGTGTGTACTCATATATAAGTATTCCCAGCTTAAAAAAATAACAATAATATCACTTGGTATTGCTCTGTTTCATGGTAATTTTTAGCATAATTTCCAGGTTGGAACTACTTTATCAAAATTCAGTCTCAATCTAATCAATTTTCAAAACAATTCCATAAAATAAAAAAAGAATTAATGAAAGACACATTTGATGTACCTATAACATGGTATTTTCTGCTTAAGAGGTATGTGTGGAAATGCTATAAATGAAAGAATGATATCTCCTTTTAATTTGTAATATTTAATGTTTTATCTCTACAACTAGGTCTCGAGGGAATAGAAATGCTATGTCAAGGGTCGTGTAGTTTGTTATGGATTTGGAGCATCCAAACCCCAGCTTCAACTTAACGCCTGAGTGCAGAAGGCCAAAGGGCAGGCTGACTCTCCTAAATTCTTTAATCTAACATCTAAACTGGAAATTTCAACAGCTATTTTTTGACATGTGATGAGAATTAAAAAAATAATTTATATTCTTCAAAGCTTGGCTACCATTCTAATTCAAAGAAGAGCATAAAGTACGTGTTAACTATGAGTAATCTAGTAAACTTGGGTTTTTTAACCCACAGGAGAATAAGTGTATAATATAGTATATTATGTGTTATTATATATTTTATTACATATAATCTATCTATCTATCTATCTATCTATCTATCTATCTATCTATCTAATATATATGTATATCAGCTCTAAAATACCAGGAAATAATTGATATCTAGGATTCTTGGTTAGAGTGACTTATAGATTTTCTAATTTTCTTCTAATATTGTCATTAGCATGAATCCTGAAAAAGTTGAATTGTTTTTTAATTACTGCTCCAAGAAAAAGCATACAAAAGGTGGTTACCTGATGGGAAGGGGGAAAAGGGGTGGTAGATGAGGGTAAACAGNCCTACAACTATGGACATACAGAAGATGCCACCTCGAGACTAGTAAATGGGGCAGAGACGTGGAATGGGGTGGTCCCACACCCACATATGACCACTAACAATTGGGAGGGATATCTCAGCTGTGCCGGTCCCCCGCAAAGAGCCATTGATTCCAGCCCTGCCCCAGTCCAGGGTTTCAGTGCTGGGTAGAGAAGTCCTCATAATTTCTGGCTATGAAAACCAGCGGATGAGTGAGACGAGGGTGGCTGCACTCCCAGACGCTCCTCTTAAAGAACCTATACATGGATTTAATCACTGATGGCTCACTCACCCTGAGCTCCAGCACTGGGGCAACAGCTTGAAAGGCCCCAGGGACATAAGGGGAGGAACTGAATTGTCTTGCTTCAGAGTCAGGGCTAGAGGGACAGCTTTCTCCTGGATGGAGGAGTTGGCGGAAACCATTGTTTCTTTATTGAGCCTTCCCCCTCCCTGCATGCATACACATGCAGATGTCATAGCTAAGTCTCTATCAAACTGGCTATCACCTTTCATCTGCCCCACGTGAGTGATTCCCTGAGACCATGCCACACCCAATTTTTGGGCACATCCAAGCCACTTCCAGTGGTTTTCCATATAAACAGCCTGACTTGGCTCATGCTGCAGAATTCCCAAAATCTCTCAAAGGTTCATAAAACCCAAACAAGAAACATCTGGCTTTGGCATGTCCTGTACCTCTGGCTGAACAGCCCCAAGCCTGGCACTACAATACCCGCTTTGTTTCACAGCGTGGTCTCTCAAGAGGCCTCCAAGCACAGCATGGTGGCAGCCATCTCTGGATTGCTTTGTGGCTCATGTCAGGTGGCCCTGAGCAGGGCACAGACTGCAGCTGAACTTGGCCTGCAGTGGGTCCTCTCGCAGGAAGCCCCAGGGCTGATAGTTCCAGTGGCCAAGTTCAGAGTGTGCTGGAGCATCACCTGGTCTCCTCTGAGGTCATCACATCCAGACAGAAGACTGGGCAGTCACTAGAACACCAGTAGAATGAATCCTGCCCTGTAGGATCAGCTCCTGCACAACAGCTCCTCCACTGTACTCACAGCCAGTCTTCACAACCAATTAGCTTGAGGGTCAATCCCGCTCACTGATATGCAAGCGGCAATCAAGTCCCAACTACAACAGAAGGGCATATACAACTCACACAAGGGACACATGTGGAGCACCCAGCTCTGGTGACCAGGGGGACTGTACCCCTGGGCCCCAGAGGATACCTACTACATAAGGCCATTTTACTAAGACCAGGAGGCTAGCAGCCCTACATAGAAACAAACACAGGGAGGCAGCCAAAATGGGGAGACAAAGAAACATGTCCCAAATAAAAGAACAGAAAAAAAGCTCCAGAAAAAGAACTAAACAAAATTGAAACAAGCAATCTACCAGGCNAAATAATACAACACTGTGATTTTCACTAAACTAGGAAAGGTTATTTTGGAGCTGCTGGGACTTTAGATATTTGAAGTAGTAATTACTTCCTCCATAAATGTTACCTTTTAGAGTCAAATACTGCTTTCCTGTTGCAGTTCAACTTTTTACTTAAAGGAAAATGTCTTTTATTCACAATTCACCATGCTATAATATTATATGTGGTAATTCTCCTTTTTATTTGTTTTGGTAGCATTTTAAAGTCAATGAAGCATCATCATAATAATAGTAGCTTACATTTATTCAGTATTTATTCTGTTTAATACCCACATAAAATTTATGATGTGTATGATTTTATATATCTCTATTTTTTCTGTCTATCTATCTATCTATCATCTATTGATCTAAGCTTAGAGAGTCAATTTTCCAATTGGTAAGCAGTATGGTCAGGATAATAATGAAGGGAAAACCATCTTCAGATTTTGCATTCTTGGTTCTTGAAAGTTTTGAGTATCCAGCAACAAAATTTAATACCATATTTTGCATAATTCTGGAACTATTATCTGTTTTAGTAAAGTACTTGTGTTATCCTTTATAAAGTGATGCATTAGATTGTACTCACTAAAATACTATCAAGTCACTGCAACTAAGACTCCAAAAGTATTTCTTGTATAGTGAATGGATGAAATATCAATTCTTACCTGATGATCATCAACACTTCATGTTGAAACTGACTGCTATCACTTATGACTTACCATAGACTTGGGTTTGGTTCCAGAATTGGCCACTGGGGTGGGAGGTGGTAGGTCAGTGGACTCGATGTTAGAAGACAAATGTACTTGTGTCTGATTCACTGAAATGGTGTCTGCTCCACTTTCGGATCCTGACTCTATATCCTGTTAAAAAAAAATGTTTTGATATGAAGGGCATGCACATGTTCTTTATTTGCTTTTCTCCCTGCCACCAGCACCATTCGACCTCCTCCTTTCTCCAACACACACTGAGACACTAAAGAACTGATGACAACTGACATTGACATGTTACCCACAATCATGCATTATTTTGTAATCCAAATTATACTCTTCAGAGGGCCTAATTTCACAAAGCAACTATTGGAGAAAGAGGTAATGTGCAGCATTGGTAATTTAACAGCTGATTGTGAATTGGAAGGAGCAGCAATGAGAGCTAGCTAGGGCACTGCAGTGAGTCAGGAAGTAGAA